CACTTAAGAAAGTACTGAACACAGAAGAAAAAGAAAAAAGAACAACAGTATTCTTCACAAGAGTACAGGCAAAAGATTAAAAGCACACATGAACCAACTCCAAAACCCAAAGAAAGACAACAAACAAACAGGAACAACTCTGTAAGAACCTTATGACAGGGATCAACTCTTGCATTTCAATTATTAGCCTTAATGAGAATGGACTAAATGCACCACTGAAAAGACACAGAATGGCAAAATGGATAAAATATCATCGGGCAACAATGTATTGCCTTCAAGAGACTCACCTCACTAGAAAGGATACTCACAGACTCAAAGTAAGAGGATGGGAAACAAACTTTCAGGCGAAAAGAATACAAAAGAAAGGAGGAGTAGCGATATTAATCTCAGACAAAATACCCTTCAAACTATTAAAAATCAAAAAAGATACAGAAGGCCACTACATAACGACAAAAGGCTCAATCCATCAACAAGAAATATCTATCCTAAACATATATGCACCCAACATAGGTGCACCAACTTTCATAAAGCAACTTCTTGGAAAACTAAAGAAAGATATTGACTCTAACACTATCATAACTGGGGACTTTAATACCCCACTCACAACCCTAGACAGATCATCAAGACAAAAAATCAGCAAGGAGATCCGGAACCTCAATGAGACTCTGGACCAAATGGACTTAATTGATACCTACAGAACACTCCATCCAAAGACCACAGAATACACAATCTACTCATCACCACATGGAACATATTCTAAGATCGACCACATACTCGGCCATAAATCAAGCATAAGCAAATTTAAAAGGACAGAAATTCTACCATGCACCTTCTCGGACCACAGTGGAATAAAAATAAACATTGACACCAACAAAGTCCCCCCAAAACCCACAAAGACATGGACACTAAACAGCATGATGCTAAACAACTCCTGGGTCAACGATGAGATCAAAACAGGGATCAAAAGATACCTGGAAACAAATGAAAATGAAGAAACATCTTACCAAAATCTCTGGGATGCCCTGAAAGCTGTAGTAAGAGGGGAATTTATATCCCTACAAACACACATGAAGAAAATGGAAGGAACAGAAACTCACAACCTAACAAGCCACCTAAAGAAGCTGGAAAAGCAAGATCAGAAAAAACCCTAATTTCAGCAGAAGAATCCAGATCACCAAAATAAAAGCCCAAATCCAGGACATAGAAGACAAAAAGATAATACAAAAAATCAATGAAACAAAAAGATGATTCTTCGAAAGGATAAACAAGATTGATGGTCCCCTAGTTAGACTGACCAAGAATAAACGAGAAAAAAACCAAATAAGCACAATCAGAAACACAAAAGATGAAGTCACATCTGACCCTGAAGAAATACAAAAGATCATTACAGACTACTACGTACACTTGAATGGAAACAAACTTGAAAACCTTAAGGAAATGGAGGACTTTCTGACATCACACAACCTACCTAGGTTGGAACAAGAAGAAATTGAGACCCTAAATAGACCAATAACAATCAAGGAAATTGACTATGCAATAAGAAAACTTCCTACAAAAAAAAGCCCTGGTCCAGATGGCTTTCCAGCAGAATTCTACAAGACGTTCAAGGAGGAGTTGATACCAATCCTACTGAAGGTATTCCAGGTGATGGAAAAAGATGGAACTCTCCCCAAATCATTTTACGAAGCCAACATCACATTGATATCCAAGCCAGGTAAAGATCCAACAAAGAAAGAGAACTACAGGCCAATATCTTTGATGAACATAGATGCTAAAATTCTCAACAAGATCCTAGCAAACCGGATGCGGCAATACATCTCAAAAATTATCCACCATGACCAAGTAGGCTTCATTTCTGGGATGCAAGTCTGGTTCAACATTTGTAAAACCATAAATGTAATTAAATACCTCAACAGATGTCAAAACAAAAACCACATGATTATATCATTAGATGCAGAAAAAGCTTTTTATAAAATCCAGCACCGCTTCTTGATAAAAACCCTTGAACATCTAGGCATACGGGGAACATACCTCAAAATAGTAAAAGCCATCTACGAGAAACCCACAGCCAGCATACTCCTAAATGAACAAATATTGGTACCAATTCCTCTGAAAACTGGAACTAGACAAGGATGCCCACTCTCACCCCTCCTGTTCAACATAGTATTGGAAGTCTTGGCTACAGCAATCAGAGAAGAGGAGGCAATCAGAAGTATTCAAATAGTAAAAGAGGAAGTCAAGTTATCTCTCTATGCAGATGATATGATTGTGTACCTTGAAAACCCAAGAGAATCTGTCAAAGGCCTCCTTACATTGATAAAGGCCTTTGGCAACGTCTCAGGATACAAAATAAAGGTACAAAAGACAATCGCATTTCTCTACACCAATAATAAACAAACAGAAACCCAAATAAAAAACACAATTCCATTCACAATAGCCACAAAAAAAATGAAATACCTTGGCATTTTCCTAACCAGAGACGTGAAGGAAATTTACAATGAAAATTACAAAACTCTGCTCAAAGAAATCAAAGTTGACATAAACAAGTGGAAAAATATTCCATGCTCATGGATCGGAAGAATCACATTGTGAAGATGTCCATCTTACCTAAGGCTATCTACAAATTCAATGCAATATCCATTAAATTACCGACAGCATTCTTCTCAGACCTAGAAAAAACAACACGGCAATTCATATGGAAACACAAACGTCCAAGAATAGCCAGAACAATCCTCAGCAAAAAAAAAAAAAAACAATGCAGGTGGTATCACAATACCAGACTTGAAACTTTACTATAAAGCTACAATCATCAAAACAGCTTGGTATTGGTACAGGAACAGGCGTATAGATCAATGGAACCGAAATGAGATTCCGGAAGCAAAACCTCAAACCTCAATTTCTCAACTAACTCATCTTCGACAAAGCCCCCACCACCTACCACTGGGGAGAGGAGAACCTATTCAGTAAATGGTGCTGGGAAAACTGGCTGACCACATGCAGAAGATTCAAACAGGACCACTATCTATCCCCATGCACAAAGGTAAACTCCAAATGGATCAGAGACCTAAATATAAAACCTCAAACCATAAGAACCTTAGAAAAGGAAGCAAATACTCTCATGGAAATCAGAACTGGCATCCAATTCCTGTACAAAACCCAAAATCCACAGGTCATAAGACAGAAGATAGACAAATGGGACCTTATTAAACTGACAAGCTTCTGCAAAGCCAAAGAAACCATCAAGAGAGCAGGGAGACAGCCTACAGACTGGGAAAAAGTATTTGCCAACTCTAGGTCTGACGAAGGCTTAACATCCTGGATCTACAAGGAACTGAAACGTACTGAAAAGAAGAAAACAAACAACCCCATTATCAAATGGGCAAAAGATATGAACAGACACTTCACAAAAAAAGACATTCGAGCAGCCAACAAACACATGAAGAAATGCTCAACCTCACTAATCATCAGGGAGATGCAAATCAAAACCACACTGAGATACCACCTAACTCCAGTCAGAATGGCAATTATCAACAACTCAAAAAATAACAGCTGCTGGAGAGGGTGTGGTGAAAAGGGAACACTTCTACACTGTTGGTGGGAGTGTAAACTAGTGCAACCTCTGTGGAAAGCAGTGTGGCGATTCCTAAAAGCTCTAAAAATTGACCTTCCATATGACCCTGCAATCCCCCTACTGGGAATATACCCTGAAGAACACAAATCACTCTATAAAAAAGATACCTGCACACGTATGTTTATCGCAGCATTGTTCACAATAGCAAGAACCTGGAAACAACCATGCTGCCCATCAAAAGAGGACTGGATTAAAAAAATGTGGTACATATACACGATGGAATACTACGCAGCCATAAAAAAGAACAAAATCATGAATTTCGCTGCAACCTGGATGGAACTAGAGTCTATAATACTGAGTGACCTCTCACAGAATCAAAGATCCGAGTATCACATGTTCTCACTCATATAATGAACCTTGAACATCCATTGTAATAGTATAAGAAAATGACTGACGGTACTGGGAAACTATGGGGGGGTAGAGGGATGGGATTAACAGTAGCAAACATCTGTCTGGGGATGGGAAAACACCTCTTATCAACAGGGTGCCTGAATGAAACGTAATTGTACACCTAACCCTTAACTGTACCCCACAAAACCATAATAAAAAATATTGATTAATATAAAAAAAATACATATCTTCAAATTTTAAAGGGGCAGTCAGTACAAAGAAAGCTTTAAATATTCTTACCTGTGCAAACCGGTGGCAGTAAGACCAAAAAATATATCTAAGCAGCTTCCAAATACAGTAATAACAAACAATTTGTTTGTTTCTGCAACTTTTAAGGAAAGTCTGTATCTGTAACTGGTATTTTCAGATTCACCAGTAGAGCCACATTTTGGGCAACTGGACCTGGAAAAGTGGTACCAAAAAAAGTATAGAGATGTTCATTAAATTTTTTTTTATACGATGAAAAACAAATCTAGAAAAGTAAAAATTTAAAATAACATTTGGGGTACAAATGCTCTTATGCAACTTATGTTGTTCTTGAATTTAGATGAACTTCTTTTACATTTCTCTATTTGTAACAGCTAGCTTTACTGATTTAAATTAAGTAGCCCCAATCGTTAGAAATATATACCAAACTGACAGAAAACTGAAGAAAAACTGTGTATATAAGGGGAAGAGTATTTACTACACATTTTTACAAAAAGCATTTAACAAACTGCATTTTTCTCACTATTATGAAAATTACTTTCTTTAAGATATGCTTAGAATTTACTAGATTATAAAATCAGACATGAAAACCATGCAATTTATTTTTAAGGCAATATGTAATTGTGACCAAAGGCTTTCCTAGTCACAAAGTGCACCTCTGCATGACAGTGTAACTCTATTGTTACGTACTCACTATCTGATAGTTACTAAATTCCTAACTTGAGGTCTTTGTCTGTAAAATACAGGGCTTAGGGAGGATAAAAGAGACAAAATAAAGTGTCTAGCACAAATATTGTCAAGTTAGTGTCAGTCTGCTTCTCCCTCATAATTATATCAAATATTATGATGATTACTGTCACTTGTACTTAGCGTTTCCTTCCTTTCTAGTTTGAAATGTATATAACTCTGATTTCCATCTCTCATGCTATAAATTTAGCAAACTGACTGTTTAAAACATCTTTTTCTTCTCGCAGTCATGTTAACTTTACTTAATAGGCAGGCAGGAATAGTCTCAAAAATCTTTTGAAACAGAACAAGCACCTGAAACATCTTACAGCTAAATTAGAACTTTTATTTTTTCATATTGCTAATGATATGCCTTAAAAAAGAGTGATGAAATGCAAATAGAAAATAGTGTTCAAGATAGTAGTATAAATTTGATTGTTGCCAGATAGCCACTAGGGGGAGCCTAAAATCTGTAGTCCTCAAAGTGACTTTTTTCAACAAAGGTTACAAATACTGGGCCTGGCAAGGTGGCTCATGCCTGTAATCCCAGCACTTTGGAAGGTCGAGGTGGGAAGATTGATTGCCCAGCAGTTTGAGACCAGCCTGGAAAACACAGAAATAGCTTGTTTGTAAAAAAATAAATACAAATAAAAAATTCAAAAATTAGCCAGGTGTGGTATACACCTATAATTCTAGCTACTCAGCAGGCTGAAATGGAAGGATTGTCTGAACCCAGGAGTTCAAGGCTGCAGTGAGCCATGATTGTACACACCGCACTACAGCCTGGGTGACAGAGTGAGTCCCTGGCTCAAAAAAAAAAAAAAAAAAGTTGCTGCATTTCTCTGATGGTTAGTAATGTTGAGCATTTTTTTCATGCTTGTTGGTCACTTGTATGTCTTCTTTTGACAAGTGTCTCTCCGTGGAACATACCTACGTAACTAACCTGCACATGCACCGCTGAAATTAAAAAAAAAACCTTACCCAAAACTAAAATCTGTGCTATAGTTTGGTCATAGAATAAAGGTAATTGACTCAGTAGGGGATAAAAAAACCTCATTAGTACCAAACTCTTGTGAAATGAACTAAGTGTGCTAGGAGCAGTGGCTCATGCCTGTAATCCCAGCACTTTGGGAGGTTGAGGTAGGAGGGCTGCTTGAGCACAGGGATATGAGATCAGCCTGGTCAACTTGGCAAGACCTCATCTCTACAACAAATCAAAAAAATTAGCTGGTGTGATGGCATGCACCTGTGGTTCCAGCCACTTGGAAGGGTGAGATGGAAGGATCACTTGAACCTAGCAGGTTGAGGCTGTGGTGGCTGTGAGCATGCCAATGCACTTCAGCCTGGGCAAGAGTGGGACTCTGAATCAAAAAACAAAAGAAAAGAAATGAGCTAAGTGTTTTAAATAGAATTAAAAAAAAAAATAAATTTCTTTAAAGGTTATACATTAATAATATTTATATCTAATATAAAATTCCTAGAAAAATCTTAGAATATGCATCAGAATTTTATAGTTTATAAATGTTTTCAACATACATTATTTCATTCTGATATGTAAACAACATATTTAGCTCATTTGCAAATGAAGAAATTGGTTTAAATTATTTGTCCAAAATGACAAAGTTATTGAATTTATGACTTAAATCCAAGAATGTGAATACCTATCTGGAAGTTCTTTCCTATATGATGCCTTATGATTACTATGAGAACAAATGGTTAATAATGAACCATCTTGCCTCACAAAACTGTCTATTGTCTATGAAGTTTTAATGCATTTACACAGTACATTATATATACTTTAATAAAATGCATATGCACAATGTGGATATTTATTTATATAGTTATTTTCCTTTTAGGAACAAACCTAGATTGAAATAAATGTTAGTATGGCATAATATGCATTAGAACGTCTCAAACTTTATGCATATAAATCATCTGAGGATTTGTCAAAATGAAGATTTCAATTCAGGAAATCTGGGACAAAGTCCAAGACTCTGCATTTCTAATAAACTCCCAGGTGATGCTGATGCAGATGCTCCTTCAGTCATACTTTCAGAAGCAAGGGTATAGACAAGACATGTAATTAGTCTTCTGACTTAACTTCTAGAGACACCCTGTCTCTGAAATGTCATTTTAGACATTAGAACAGCAGTTTTCAAACTTTTTGGTCTTAAAGTCCTTTATAGTCTTAAAAACTAAAGAGAATACCAAAAACCTTTTGCTTATGTGAATAATCTCTACCTATATTTATTTATTTAAAAATATTTACTCAGCCAGGCTCGGTGGCTCGGCCTGCAATACCGCGCCTTTGGGAGGCTGAGGTGAGTGGATTGCCTGAGCCCACGGGTTCGAGACCAGCCTTGGCAACTTGGTGACACCTCATCTCTACAATAAATCAAGAAAAATGAGCTGAGCATGGTGGCACATGCCTGTAGTTCCAGCTACTTGGAAGGCTGAGGCGGAAGGATCACCGGAGCCCAGTAGGTCGAGGCTGCGGTGGCCCGGAGCAGCCACTGCACTCCAGTCTGGGCAACAGAGTGAGACTCCAACTCAAAAACAAACAAAATATTTACTCGACAAAGATTGAATATATTCAAGGTATACAATATCATGACTTGAAATACATATACATTGGGCAATCATAATCAAAGTAATTAACAGCTTTTACCACCCATGCTGTACATTATGTCCATAGAACTTGTTCATCTTATATCTATATTTCTAATATTGAAAATGAGAAATTAAATGAAAGCAAGAAATTAAAATTGAGAAACCTAAAAAGTATTATCATTAAAAATAATAGTTTCATTACATGGTTAACATAAATAACATATTTTTATTAAAAATAATTATGTGTCTCAAATTTAAAAATTCGTAAGAGTGGCATTGTTTTACACTTTGAAAATCTCTTTACTCTCTGGCTGAATAAAAAGCTGGATTGTCATATCTGCTTCTCTGCTCAAGCTGTTGCGATAGTACATGTCATGTAGCCTCTGGGAAACTCTATTAAGTACTCATGAAAGAAAGAGTGAAAAAAGCAAATAATACCTTAGTATTATTACGAAAATAGGTTTCACAAGAAACCAGCGAAAGATCCATCCAAAATAATAGCTCTAATTTCCTGCCTTTTTAATTTGATCCTAAAGAAAACACCAGGTTTCATTTATTTTTCTAGTGTACTTATATTTAGCCCAGAAATAGAAGAACTAATGAAATAAGTGATCCTTAGTGTTCTCTTGGCTTTGAAACCCTTTGAAAATCAGATGAAAGCAATGGACTCACTCTCCCCCCAAAAATATACATGGGCCACAGTATACAGTATTTTACATATTTTGGGGGAGTGGATTCATACATCACTATATGCATCCACAGATTACAGGTTAAGAATACCCAGATTAGATGATTATATAATGTCCCTTCCTATAAATTTACAGACCCAGATTAAAATGTATACATTTTAAGAAAGGAAAAAAACCATTAAAATTTTAATACTCAATATATACTGTTAACAAAAGAAGAATACAACTTCTGCAATTCCAAGAGGTACTCAATGTGGCTACCATCAGCATCCAAACACTTCTGATGACGGCAAACGAATGCAGGACTTGTTGCTGTGTGAGGTCTTCTGATCTTCCCACGTGCACATCACACAGAGTACCAAGCATCTCAAACTTATCACGAGTGCATGCAATTGTTAGGTGTGTGAGGTTTTATTTAATACTCATGCCTCCACTGTTGTATTTCCACAGTGTTTTCAAATTTCTTTCTTTTTTTTTTTTGAGTCAGTCTCAATCTGTCGCCCAGGCCGGAGTGCAGTGGCATGCTCACAGTCACTGCAGCCTCAACCTGCTGGGCTCAGACAATCCTTCCACCTCAGCCTTCCAAGTAGCTGGAACCACAGGCACATGTCACCAAGCCCGGCTAATTTTTTGATTTACTGTAGAGACAAGGTCTAGCCCAGTTGCCCAGGCTGGTCTCGAACCCCTGGGCTCAGGCAACCCTCTTGGCTCCACCTCTGAAAGTGCTGGGATTACAGGCATGAGTTACTGCGTCCAGCTACGTTCTGGAATTTCAAATATCACTTCAAATGGTCTTGTGTTCCTCAAACGACAACTGTGCTTCTGCCATTTTCTTTGATTGTCCTGCCTGACACATGGTGACACTAGCATTCATTTGATTAATGCCATCTTTTGAGCAAACATCATACTACACATTGCTAGCATAATTCAATTCAACTTTGAAAAGTAATACATAGATAACATCTCTTAAAATGTTTATATATATTTTTTTGGTACCCCACCATATAAGCTCTATGGATGGTTGGGAATGGCAGAAGACAGGTAGTCTCTGAGCTATGATTCTCATTTTAAGATAGAAAAAGAAAGTTTTTCGTGTTAGAGACAGATTTCTAGATTAAAAGAAATTATGCGCCCCATTAAGTCGTCTAGAAGGGCAATTTGTATCTGTTTAGGCAGGGTGGATAGCTTATCTAGATAAATAAATCCCTTTTCTTGCTCATATTCTTTTGTAAGAGTACACACACACACACACACACACACACACACCCACACACACACACACACACACACCCCATGAAGGACCACACTAACTTTTTATACATTAAAAACCCTCCTCAAATGAAATCTAACTTGAACTCCTAAAATAAGGATAAGAATAGAGTTTTCTCGCTGAAACTAAGATGGGGACCCTAAACACTACTTACATCTCACACTATCTACTATTACTCCTCTAGTCATATCTCCCTCCAGAAGCATGTCTATGCCACCTAAGGCTTTGCAGAATACCCACAGTTTGAAAACTACCATTGCTCTAATCTTGGAGGTAAAAAAATAAAAGTTAATTCTATAAAGCACAAAATACCTATTATGACTAATGATAGGTAAGGATTTGGGGTTCAAAGAAAATCTTTATGGTGCAGTCTCTTTGTTCTTCAGTGTCTCTAAGATCTGTAAAGGTTTGCATGTGGAACTCCTGTTAAAAACTTGCTGTGCTACAGCAATGGGGAAATGAACATGGGGAGTTTTTGTTCCCTATGTTGGAAACATGATTCTAAGTAAAAGGAAAGCAGAAACAATAGAACACATAAACATCAGAAATTATGGGAATTGTTTTTTTTTATTATCAATGTAACATGCAGAGAACAGGTTATATTTCCATGAATTGTGTTTCCACAGGCAAGGAGCATGTACTTTGGGTTTTATATACCTAGTGGGTTCAGTCAGAGGTCCTTTTCCAGGCATTTTAAGCTGTGAGAGAGGGGAAGGTGTCATTCTGAATACAAATTCCACTGCTAATTTGGAGGTAATATGGTGATTATGAATGTAGACAGTTGTCAGATTGTTTAGGCTTGAATGATTCTGATCCTAGCTAGCTGGCGGCATGAATTGTGGCAAGGTACTTAACTTTTCTAAGCTTCAGCTGTCTCCTTTAAAGGCTGGCATTATTAATAGCATTCATTTCAGCCGGGCTTGGTGGATCAGCCTGTAATCCCGCGCCTTTGGGAGGCTGAGGTGAGTGGATTGCCTGAGCCCGCGGGTTCGAGACCCGCCTGGGCAGCGAGACCTCATCTCTACAATAAATAAAAAAAAAAATCAGCTGGGTGTGTTAGCGCATGCCTGTAATTCCGGTTACTTGGAAGGCTGAGGTGGAAGGATCGCCGGAGCTCAGCAGGTCGAGGCTGCGGTGGCCGGGAGCGGCCACTGCACTCCAGTCTGGGCGACAGAGTGAGACTCCAACTCAAAAAAAAAGAAAAAAAAAAAAAGCATCCATTTCATAGGGTGGTATTTAAAGGTATAATGTCTACAAAGTGCTTAGCACAGTGTCTAGTGAATGGTAAACACTCATTAATTTTGGAGATAGTGTTAAATAAAATATATCATTAATTTCAAAAGTAAAAAACAAACTCATTAATGTTATCTATTGGTATTGTCGGTCTAAAAAGGTAACAATGGCATTATTGTTCAACTCAAATTTTTGTTGCAGATTAGGATTAAAATAAATGACTTAGAAAAAAAGTTTTAAAAATATTTCACACCTGATAATGTATCAGACAATGCTCTAAGCATGTTATGCAAATTAACACATTTGAGCCGGGCTCAGTGGCTCAGCCTGTAATCCCTCGCCTTTGGGAGGCTGAGGTGAATGGATTGCCTGAGCCCGCGGGCTCGAGACCCACCTGGCCAACTTGGCGAGACTTCATCTCTACAAATAAATCAAAAAATTATTAGCCGGGCCTGGTAGCGCGCGCCTGTAGTTCCAGCTACTTGGAAGGCTGAGGCGGAAGAACTACCGGAGCCCGGCAGGTTGAGGCTGCGGTGGCTGGGAGCGGCCACTGCACTCCAGTCTGGGTGACAGAGTAAGGCTCCAACTCAAAAAAAAAAATAAATAAATAAATAAATTAACTCATTTGATCCTTACAAAAACTCCAGAAGGCAGATATTATTACTTTCCCCATTTTGAGATTCAGATAATTAAAGTGACTTGTCTAAGACCACACAGCTATAACTGGTAGGGTTGGGATTTGAACCCAGGCAATCTGCTCCAGAGAATTAAGTTTTTAATCACCATAATATGCTGCTATAGGTAAGTATACTTATAGAAGATTGTAATAATAATAGCTACCATTTTAGAAGTGGTATATTGGTATATATTACTTATACCTAATATAAGTCATACACTGTACTAGGACACGTCTGTACATTATTGCTAATTTTGCAGTTAGCCCACATTGTAGGTACTACTATCCAATCTTACAAATGAGTAGACACAGAGAAATATCTTGCCCCAGATCATATAATTAATGAATGTCAGATCCTATGTGCAACTTGTTGTATTCTTTGAAGCTGTAATTGTTCCATTAACAGTTAAGTCCTCACTTAAAGTCATTGATACATTCTTGCATACTGTGACATAGGTCCTCAAATAATGTGCTATAACATCGATAAGGAAAAAAATTGGTTTTGTTATACGTCATTTTTCTCAAAGTTGCAGTGTCCAAGAATCTACCAACATTAAGTGAGGATCGTACACCACACTGCTTCTAAGAATAGATCCTGATAAAAGGCCAATAGCTTATGGGTTGTAGTTGTTTTAAATAAGCAGGAACCTGAAAATGGGGGAACCTAAGACCATCTAGACACTATGATACTGTCATTTATTCAATCATTTAACAATCTGGATGCCAAGCATTTAATGACAAATAACAAAAACAGAGTCTTTCCTTTAGAGCTTACGAATCAGAGTGGTGGATCTATAACTACTGCAAGGATGACTTAGAGTTTAGATGTTAGAACTGCCAATCCCTCTCTGCCTCCCCATTCAATGCTAACTAGACAAAAAGACTAGTAAAATAGTGCTGACATTCTACTCTTTCTTACATACTTCTATGTACTTACTAGACATCCTTATCCTCTCCTCCATGAAGACAGAAAGCATTCTAGAGAGACCCTAAATCTAACTTCTTACTTCTACTCTATAAAAATCAGAGGAAGATCTTAGGCTCCTAAGTATATCTGGCCTACACCTGAGCACCATAATAAAGATTTATGGCCAGGTATGATGGCTCACACCTGTAATCCCAGCATTTGGGCAGCTGAGGTGGGATGACTGCTTGAGTTCACGAGTCCAAGACCAATCAAGGCAACATAGCAATACCTTATCGCTACATAAAATAAAAAAACTAGCTGCACCTATAGTCCCAGCTACTATGAAGGCTGAAGTAGAAGGATTGTCTGAGCCCAGAAAGTCGAGGCTGTAGTGAGCCATGATTGTGGTACTGCACTCTAGCCTGGGCAACAAAGTGAGACTCCAGTTCAAATACCTTTCTAACTGATGAAGGATAGGGATTACTATAATTTAATTCCTGCTCTCAGGGAGTTTATTTATTCATGTTAAAAAATATTCTGGGCCAGGCTCGGTGGCTCAGCCTGTAATCCCAGCAATTTGGGAGGTCGAGGCGAGTGAACTGACTGAGTCTGCGGGTTCAAGACCAGTCCAGACAACTTGACGAGACCTCGTCTCTAAAATAAATAAAATAATTAGCTGGGAGCGGTAGCACACGCTGTAGTTCCAGGGTACTTGGAAGGCTGAGGCGGAAGGATCGTTGGAACCCAGCAGGTCAACACTGGGATGGCCATGAGCGTGCCACTGCACTCCAGCCTGGGTGACAGAGTGAGACTCCAACTCAAAAAAAAAAAAAAAAATTCTGTGCATCATGCAAAAATAAACAATAAAAAAAGATTTCTGCATTATTCTAAGGGAAATCCCAGAAGTGGATCAAGTTTCTGTACCAGTATTGGGACTTACCCTGAGAGAAGTTATTTTTGTTCTCTGTGGAGATATTTAGCAAAGACTTAGCAGTAACTTAAAACCTTTTCTTTAGTAATAGAGGATTATCAGCTAATTCTGTTGTGGGATTTATAGAAGAATCTAATATTTGGGTATGGTGGATTTGGTCCTTACTTGCCCTTGACCCATAGGAAATGTGTCTTTACACTGGTATTCCCTCTCTCATGCTCACAGGTTTTATTTTTACCTTTTGGAGACTAAAATTATCCGAGAGAAGCACTTTTGACATGATGGATATATAAAACTTGAATTCTGGAGAGCAAGTACTGAGGCAAGAAGAAATTTTTCTTCTTCTATTCATGCGTTCACACCGTGGCCTACAAAACAAAATAGCCATTGAAATGAATGAAAAATCTTTCATTGTATGTCCACATTCATTTCTTAGGAGAATTACATAACTCCCACTACAAAGTCAAGAGATGTCTTTTTTTCCACTTTAAAAGTGAAGGTAGTGTCAATATATCAGAAAATTTTCTTTTTCTGCTTAATTAAAAGTATTATTAGAAAGAAACTTCATATTTTTTTTTTTGTTAGAGTCTCACTGTCACCCAGGCTGGAGGGCAGTGGCCTGCTCATGGGCACCACAGTCTTGACCTGTTGGGCTCAGGCAATCCTTCTGCCTCAGCCTTCTAACCAGCTGGAAATACAGGCGCACACCACCATGCCCGGCTAACTTTTTGATTTATTATAGAGACAAGGTCTTGCCAAGTGCCCAGGCTGGTCTTGAACCCCTGGGCTCAGGTAATCTCGCCTTGGTCTCCCAAAGTGCTGGGATTATAGGCACGAGCCAACATGCCTGGCAGAAACTTTGTAAAACAGAGTGGCTCAAGCAAATCTTTATATTCTGTTTCCAAATTAATGTTTCATTCCAGTAATTTAGGAAAGATATCATTTAGCTTCTTTCACATATTTATAAGAAGATGTAGAACTTGTGTCTACCACTAATAGGAAGGAAATTACAAGCATCTTGAATTTGGAAATTCAAAATCTGAAATGCTCCAAAATCTGAAAGTTCTTAACATGGACATGATGCCACAAGTAGAAAATTACACACACGAGCAGATAACAGAAACTTTGTTTCATGCATAAAATTATTACAAATATTGTATAACATTATATTCAGTCTGTGTATAAGGTATATATGAAACAGAAATGAATGTTGTGTTTGGACTTGGATACTATCCCCAAGATATCTCATTTTATATATATGCAATTATTCCAAAATAAAGATCCAAAATCTGTAACACTTCTGGTCCCAAGCATTTCAGATAAGGGATGCTCAATCTGAACATAAAGTTATGATCTTTTAAAGACCTATACTAGTAGAAATGGTTCTTTTTAGCTAAAAGATTGCTTTGTTAGATTTCAGTGTGCATATTTTACACATCTTGAAAGGGAAAAAAAGTCCTCAGATTCTTGTCAACAGAAAAAGCATGGTCAAAGGAGAGCTCAAAACGTTTTAAGATCCTTGTAGAAAATATATCAGAGAAGTAAAAAATATAGTATTGACATATTTCCTTTTACTATGTTTCGTTTTATTATGCTTCACAGATGATAGCACTTTTACAAATTGAAAATTTGTGGTAATCCTGAATCAAGCAAGTCTAATGGTACCATTTTTTCCAACAACATATGTTCACTTTATGCCTGTCACATTTTGATAATTCTTAACAATGTTTTAAACCTTTTCATTATTATTATATCTGTTACATGTGATCAGTAATCTTTGATGTTACTACTGTAATTATTTTGTGGCACCACAAACTGCACCCACATGAGACGGTGAATTTAATATAAAAATGTTGTGTGTGTTTTGACTGCTCCACTGACTAGCTCCTCCCCAGTCTTCTCCTTGTGCCTCCCTATTTCCAGACTCAGTAGGCCAATTAATACCACTACAATGACCTCCAAGTGTTCAACTGAAAGGAAGAGTTACATGTCTCTCACATAAATCAAAAGCTAGAAATAAACTTAGTGACGAAGGCACGTTGAAAGCCAAGAGAGATCAAAAGCTAGGACTCTTGTGCTAAAAAGTTAGCCAAGTCGTGATTGCAAAGGAAATGTTTTTGAAGGAAATTAAAACTGCTTCTCTAGTGAACACACAAATGACAATAAAGTAAAACTGTTCTATTGCTGATAATGTTTTAGAGATCTAGATAGGAGAGTAAACTAGCCACAACATTCCCTTGAATTCAAGCCTAATCCAGAGCAAGACCCAAACTCTCTTCAATTCTGTGAAAGTTCAGAGAGATGGAAAAACTGCAGAAGAAAAGTCAGAAGCTAGCAGAAGTTGCTTGGTTCATGAAGTTCAGGGAAAGAAGCCATCTCATAACATAACAGTGCAAGGTGAAGAGGCAAGTGCTGATGCAGAAGCTGCAGCAAGTTATCTAGAAGATCTAGCAAAGATAATTGATGATGGTGCTAACCCTCAAACTCACTGCCACTGCAACTATCAAAAGACAAAATTAGGTTGGGCCCAGTGGCTCCCTTCTGTAATCTCAACACTTTGGAGGCTGAGGTAAGAGGATTGCCTGGGTCTCCCAACACTTTGGGAGGCCGAGGTGCGAGACTAACCTGAGCAACTTGGCGAGACCTCATCTTTACAATAAATAAAAAAATTAGCTGGGTGTAGTGGCGCATGCCTGTAGTTCCAGCTACTTGGAAGGCTGAGGCGGAAGGATCACCTGAGTCCAGCAGGTCAAGGTTGTGGTAGTCATGAGTGTGTCACTGCACTGCAGCCTGGGCAACAGAGTAAGACTCTGACTCAAAAAAAAAAAAAGACAAAGTTACAACAATCTAGTTTAAAGATCTTAATTGGCTTTACTTATGATTCTATCACTGGGCAACACTTTATTTCATAAAGTAGAATAAGTGTTCCAAGGTGCTGAGCAGAGAGAAGTTTGTTTTTACAGACCAAGAAGGGCTAAAAAAAAAAAAGTAGAAACAAAGATCAAAAAGCAGATTGGTCATTTCAAAGTTATTTTTTTTGTAAGATGGACACAGGGAAACAGAACAATAGAAGTAATTGCTTAACACCAGCTTACTTTTTGTTGTAAGGATTAAAGGCAGAGAGATCTTTATTATCATGCTGACTAAACTGTCATGTTTGGGAAATTTGGTTATTTCTCTTTCCTGATTTCTAGGAAGGTCAGATAACAACTTAGTTTTGATTTGGTGAGGTAGAACTTTTGGTATAAATGACTCCATTTTGATTTTTAGTGTGGACTGCTTGGGGACTAGTGAAGAAGTTTGGTACAAAACAGAGGCCTCCGATAACTTTTAGTTAACACAACAAATGATAAAATGTATAAATCTTCCCTTCATATCTCTAAAATCCAGTTTGGGGTGGGGTATAGCATGGAGGTACACCTACCAGTGAGCTAGGGGAGATAAAATAGAACAAAGTTCCTTCCTGAAAATGCCATCTCCTAACAGTTTAAAAATCCTGTTATTTAAAATACTTTACAATGGTCTGTGAGGTCCCGGGTCAACTAGACCTTGCTGATCTCCTTGTCCTTACTTTTGTAAACCAAACATATAACCATAAGCTCTCCAACTGACTGAACAGACTCCCTCTGAGCCAAGGAAAATCTGAAAAACTGAATTCCAGTCATGATGGGAAGAGAGGCCGAAAATGCTGCACTATGCCAACTCCCTTTTGGAGTTTAGGTGCAAGTGAGGAAGCATTAACACTAAAATAGCAACCATAAGACTGACAAAACAGAATCTTTGGCAACAAGATATCAAATTCCAACCTGACTCTGGTATAGTCTCACATGACAGGTAGCAGGCCCTGAAGAAAATAAAAATATCTTACCCCAAAATACATGTCTTTGAAATATTTTGAAATGGCCCTACAAAGTCATCTTTTGTGGGAAAAATTTGCATCTGTAGAGAATCTTCTTCCCTTTCTAGGTCTTTCCCAGATCCAGGAGAGGTTTATTAGGATTCTGATGCCTTTTAAGGCCCAAAAGAGACATTTATTATCTATTGTCTTTGAAGCCTGCTACTTAGAGGCTTCATCTACATACCAAGAACCCTGCCTTCTACAATCCCCTTGTCTTAACACAAGCTTTCCTTTCTACAAACTTCAACTCTTTAGGCAAAGCTTAACTCTTTCAACCAGTTACTGATCAGGAAATCTTTAAATCCACCTATGCCTTGTAAATTACCCTCCCACCTCCACTTCAAGTGCTTTTCTGGACCAAACCAATGTATGCCTTACATGCATTGATTTATGTCTTTTCCTGTAACTTCTGTCTCCCTAAAATGTATAAAACCAAGGTATAACCCTACCCCTTTGGGCACAGGTTTTCAAGACCTCTTGAGATTGTATTCTGGGCCATGGTCACTCAGATTGACTCAGAATAAACCTCTTTAAATATTATCCCCTCAGAGAGTCCCACTTTATTTCAAGTAGACACCTCCTTTCTCTAGTTTTTGGCATCCAACACCTAGTACTAATTATGCTAATGTGGTCATCCTATATATACATTTGCTTAATTAATTTTTGTTTGTTCTTACCCCCATCCCTCACCCCACTAGTCTGACAGTTTCATAAAGACAGGGACCCAGGCAATCCCTTGTGTGCCCCCCCACCACACTGTGGGAGCTTTGTCCTCTCAATAAATCCTGCTTAAAAAAAAAAAAAAAAAAAAAAAAAGACCAGGACCTGGTCTATCCTGTTCTCCATTTCAACCCCTGTTGCTTAGAATAGTGCTCAGCATATAGTAAGTTCATAATAGACATTTATTAAATGGGTGAAAAACTATAAATAGAATCTTATAATTTAAGAAAATTTTTATAGCTGAATAGTAACATGCCATGACACCATGATTGTCTTCCTTTTTCATTTTAAGGCCTAAAAAGTCTTTATTAACTAAAAAAGGATGGCTTTTCTTCTTTTTTTCTATACCTTTAAGGACAACTCTCCCAAACCAAGTTTCCCCTCTGCTCACACAACAATAATCAGCATAGAAAAAGGCTTCAATGGCCAAATGTGGGATATTCTCCTCACTACCAAGCAGCGGACACCAGCTGGGTGTCCTCCAATTCAATTCCAACACTATCTACCTGGAGGTAGGGTCAGATCCCATAGGGTGAGGGCTCAGTTTCCAATGATACATAGACCTGCTAATGTCCGTCCATATTGCCACAGCCCCTAGAAAGGGGCATGGCGAGGGTTCAGGCACTCTTGCACATTCCTGAGCACAATACTGAGAGTCCCTTTGTCTTCTGTCCACTTCCAATAAGTAGCAGCCTCAGGGGATCCTTGACTTCCCTGTAGACTATGCCCAAAGATGTAAATCTCTACTTT